AATTAGAACTATTAATATTACTGGTACTATTATTTGACTGATACAAATAAAGAAATAAATTTTATGATTAGCAACATTATTTTAATTTAATAAAATAAATTGTATTAGAAGCATCCATTTATAGAGTAGTGATTATAATTCTTAGGTTGCTCCATCAATTAATTTAGGCAACATGGGACCATGGGAAATATTCAAACATTTAATATTGATAAATTAAAAGATAGTGCTTTTTTAACCTTTGTAGTATACCCTAAAAATGTAAGATGTATTTTGCTGACAAAATAATGAAACATTTATTTTTCAAATAACATATTGGGGACACAAAGAAAATATAATCTGCATTTCAAGTATGAGATCTAGTGCTGAATTCTAAGATCCCAAGCTGTATCTGAACCGCAAATGCTAGTCTTGACTACTACTGGTCATATTCCATTCCTGCATCACTCTGCCAATATTTTTTCCAGTTCATGTACTTGCTCACAAAGTATTTCAAAATTAGATGCATGAGTGTGCTGTGATGAAAATGGCATTAAAAAATCTTAACAGGGGTACCTGGTGACTTCAGTTAAGCATCTGACTCTTGATTTCAACTCAGGTCATGATCTCACAGTTCACGAGTTGGAGCCCCACATCAGGCTCTGCACTGACAGTACGAAGTCTGCTTGGGATTCTCTCTCTGCCTCTCTCTCTCTCTCTCTCTCTCTCTCTCTCTCATAATACATAAATAAACAAAGAAAAATCTTAACCGACATACTATTCAGTGAGTTTAGAACCAAAGTTATTATGCTTGAAGTATATATTTGTTCCTTTCACCCCTCTTCCTTTTTTCTTATCCCAATTCTCTTTATTCCTTCTTTTCTTACTCAATCTTGCCAGATATTTGTAGTACAAATATAAAGAGAGCCGCATATGTTACAGAGAAAAAAAGATTATGTGTTATAGAAACTCTCACAAACAACCTGATATAATTAAGCTTATAAATTTTATGGTCTAGTAGTAGCCAAAGATTGTTTACTGGCTACGTTTAGTACTCACCAAGGATGGTTCAGTCTGCAATTTGGTGTCGTATAGAAAATGAAGCAAACAGGAGCACCTGGGTGGCTCCTTCGGTTAAGAGTCTGACTTCAGCTCAGGTCATGATCTCGCGGTTCGTGGGTTCGAGCCCTGCATCGGGCTCTGTGCTGATAGCTTGCTCAGAGGAGCCTGTTTCAGATTCTGTGTCTCCCTCTCCCTCTGACCCTCCCCTGCTCATGCTGTGTCTCTCTCAGAAATAAATAAAATATTAAAAAAAGAAAATGAATAAACATCATTGTTAACTTATGTTATTTCAGACCCTGGTGAATAGTCAGATATCTCTACTTGGGTAAGAGTAAATTAAATAGGCAACAAAATACAATGTCCCACAGAATATTAATGGCAATGTATTAAACATGCTAACTTGCCTAAGGAGCTAGATTCTGATGATGTTACTGAAATCTAAAAGCACTGTAAAACAAATGCTTTAGGTGGCACTTAATATATGTTGGCTAATTAGCTTCCCAGTTTTCTAAATACAGTATCTTATTTATTTATTTATTTATTTATTTATTTAATGTTTTATTTATTTCTGAGAGAGAGAGAGAAAGACACAGAGTGAGCAGGGGAGGATTAGAAAGAGAAGAAGACACAGAATCCTCAGACAGGCTCCAGGCTCTGAGCTAGCGTCAGCACAGAGCCCGACGCGGGGGCCCGAACCCACGATCCGTGAGATCATAACCTGAGCTGAAGTCAGACGCTTAACCAACTGAGCCATGCAAGTGCCCCCATATGTTTTTTAAAATGACTAATGATAATAAAATGGTGAGTAACTTAATAGTAGAAGAGAATAAGCTTTAGAAGTATGGTTTTCTGTTATCCTGTTTTGAGAAATTAATTTGTTTCATTATTTCTTGTCTGAGTATACATGAAGGTGGCACTTACTGGATTGATAATTGACATTTTTATGGAAGACTGATCCAGATATCAACCATTTATTATTTAATTCATAATACTATTTCTTACATTTTAGAAGAGAATAATTCTGAAAGAAAATAATAGTATATCCTTGTGGGTTAGTGCCAGTTCTTTTGAATATTTACTCAGTAAACTTGTATTAAAATAGTAAGACTTCATCAAATATGTAATATCTTCTGGGTTTATAATTTCAAAAAATGCTACAAAAAAATAATTTGTATGACTTCTTTGTATTAGGCAAATGGGGAAAAAAAGTGAAGGTTTCTGGTATATGATGAGTGCTCCTTTGAATTCCAAAATAGATCTGATCTTACAAGATTTCTGAATATGACTCCAAATAAGCATGTAGTGAAGTCAGAATGGACTTGCTTTTTCAACTGCAAGTCATCTCTTTTGTCCTGCTATAAACATACTTTATAAATTATATTTATATGACTGAATTTCATTAGAAAAAGAAATGGACATATCTTAAAAATTAACAAGAATGGTCTATTAGAATTAATGACTTCACAAATTAAATGTTGCTTAGTGGATAAAGCCAATTTTCAGATACATCATATTCTTCAATAGCAGGTCTGTCTCAGGCATTTGCAAGTTAGAATTTACTGTGCTTCATGCAGTAAGTAGTTGCTGTCACATTTGTCTCCTCTTAACCAGTGCATCTTCACTATATCCATGTCACATTGAATGGTCTAGACTTATCAGATACCATGACGTGGGATATATCTGTCCATGCATGTAATAAACACCCCACATCATATTTATTCTCCTTTACCTTAAAGCCAGGTGAATTCTTTCAACATTGGCACAGGGAACTCAGGGCAGGAATCATTCAAACTTTTAAGGCAGTTAACGGGAAAGAGAGGAACTACAGAAAGCTTTGAGAAAGCCAGCATGTGGCCAAAAACAACAGCAGGTGTGGCCATATGGCAAGTGAATTAGAAAAGGGATTTTTGCCACACTGCCCTCCAGGAGTCAGTCAAGCCCAGGCAGTGCTCAAGGAGGGATGATTTAGCCAGTACCTTTTAAGTGTTTCATCTTGTCTCTTGCACTGATCCTCTCCAAAGGGAATTTAAATCTATTCTACCAAATAGATACTGTAGAATTTTCTTAAAATTAAAAAAATAATAACTTCTAAAGTAATTTCAGTTCCACATTTAAAGATCACTATGCCAAATGTGATCTTTATTTCCAAATAAAGCATTTGCTGAGACTGCTTTCAGAAAAGTAAAGCTCTGTAAGGCTAAAATTTAATGGCATTATTTCATTTTAAATACAACACATTTGGTGAGATGATTTAAAATTTTAAAATTCCCTACCTAGTCCAAGGCACTCTGTAATAGCATAATTTAAAGTATTTGTATAAGAAGTCCTTAACCTGAGAGTAACATTTTTCAGAAGTTCTTGAAGCACATTTTCCTTAAAAAGAATTTGCTGAAGATGTGTTTTACATCTTAGATTAGCCCTCAAAAACATGTTTGACCTACAAAAGAGCAGGGGCTATACTATTAACAGTCATTATAAAATTTATTATTATTATTTATTGTTTATATTTAGTGCAGTTCAAAATCTACAACTAACATTTGATCCCCCCAAAACTTAACTACTAATAGCTTACTGTCAACCAGATGGAAGTCTTATGGGTAACATCAACAGTCAATTAGCACATATTTTGTATGTTATATTTATGATACACTATGTTCTTACAATAAAGTAAGCTAGAGGAAAGGAAATGTTAGTAAGAAAATCCCAAGGAAGAGAAAGTACATTTACAGTACCATTCTATATTTATCGAAAAACAATCCACATAGAAATGGACCCACACAATTCAAAACTGTGTTGTTCAAGGGTCAACTGAGTGTTCAAAGATGTAAGGCATAGATTCTTCATGTTACTTTGTCACTAAATTTTGTTGTTGTGATCTCTCTTATTGACATATAAAGATCTACTTCCTCCCTTTTAACAGTTTTATGACATTTCCTCATATGAATACAAAACACTTGATTGGCCCATTCCTCTACTGATGGACTGTGACAAGTTCTTTTCTTCATATCTTCTCTGGCATTCCATTATTGCTGAGGTTTAAGTAACATTTTCATAATAATCAAATATTTATGTACTTTGGATTTGTAGTTTTAGACCACTTAGCAAACCACTCGAATATTTTCCACTGGAAGTGTTTTCTTTTTTAATTACTCCTCAAATACAGCAAAATAGCAAATAATTCAAGATATGATTTTTAACATCAAATGTAATTTGTTCAAAATTTATATTAATCTTTCTCATAACTAGTCACTTCCATTTTTTCCTCCTGTCATCCTGAAGAATGAAAATGTAATTTCCCAGAGGCCTTAAGAATTGGGGGAGTATTAAATGTGACTGAAATTAAGTGATTAATAATTTACTTTTGGGTCATGAATCAACTTCACGGGATGCTAAGGATCATTTGCAACCCCAGAAGCATTGGGAGTAACAATGCACTTTTTCAGACTCAAGAACTCTCAAAGGTTGGCTGCCCAACCTAATTAAACTTCAATCTTCTGATACCAAATTTATTTCTTCTTTGCACTGAATTTCCTCAGATCTTCTTGACAGGAAAATGTCACTTTGCCTGACAACTGATAGACAGGTTATGTAGCACCATAATTGGAGAGAAAAGGATAGCTTAAAGCTACTCGATTTAATGGCTATGTGTATGGCTTTCTCTCTTTCTTTTCCTTTTTATCCCTTTTTTCTTAAAGCTCCTATGACAGACACAAAAGGACTTAGCAAATAGGCCTAGTGCCATTTCTTCCCTGCTTCCTCCAGGGGTAATTATCTTACTCCATCAATAGTGCTGTCAGAAATTGGGCACATAATTCAGCATTTAAATGAACAAGCAATGTAATATTTCCTGTCTCCCAGTGGGATGCTTTGCAGTTCACATTCTTCTCTGTCACTCTCTCACTCTTGATGTATGTCCCATACCCAGTCCTTGAATGCCTTCTCTCCCTTGTGTTTCATTGCAGATGTTGGCTCCGACTTGACACCTACTTCATTTGGAGCTTTATAGGACCAGCGACCTTGATAATTATGGTAAGAACTCCTCACTAGCTATGTGTCTCCCAGGTCAAGAAATAAAACTTTTACTATCCTTGAACTGGCTATCTTTGCTTTACATAGATGAATTTGGGAAAAGCATCTACTTATTTAACCCTATATGACTCAAGGAATTAGACACTCATTAGAGTCTACTTTAATATTGTAAAATATGTAATCAACACTGCTGGAGAAGAAAACACACCTTTGCAAATATTTATGCAGGACCATGACTCCTTAGGAACCTGATCCAACATAATCTATTTGGTTTTGTAGGATTTTGAACAGCGATAACTTCAAGTTTCACAACAGCATATTTCCTTTCTTTTTCATTTAGATAATTTGAATTATGAATGAAATCAGAAATTGGAAATGTGGCAAAATACCTTACTTTTTCTCCCAGTTTTGTTTTTTATATGAATCTCAAAACTTTAAAATTCAAAAGGATTTCACTTAAGAATGGCACATATAAGTTAGGCAAGTGTTCCAGAATCATACTTCCTTTTGTATATTTAGATGCATAACATCTTGATTTCAAATATGAATTATTTATTGTCATTTATTTTTGGCATTATTTATATACTCATCATTTTATAATACAAAATCATTCTCCAAATAAAACGGCCTCTTGATTTTGAATAAGATATAGATCTCCAATTCAGTATCTGAAATCCTTTGAAACTAGCGTATTTTAGAATTCAGAAAGTTTTGAAACTTTAGGATGATAATGTGGTACATGTATTGCATATTATATAGAATTCCTAGTAGAGAATAAGCAGTTGCCCCAAATCAAACACATCAACCAATATTAAAAGTAGGGATGAGGCAGGACTCTGAAACCAAACACAGTAATAATTCAGCAGAAAAAAATTGGAAGAGTAAAACCAAGTGGAATAAAGACAGAAGAACCTTATATCAGTACAAGTTCAGTTTTCCCACCAAATGGATTTAGTTAAGGTTAGGCTTTTTGGCCACTCAATAAGTTTTTTAATACTTTGACTTTTTAGACTTTTTGGATTTGATGAAGGATTGTAGAACTATATTATTGAGAGAACTTCAGGAGGGCTTATAATTGGATTTTCCTCATCCTCACCAATCCTAAATTTTGAAACATATTTAAACAAACCACGTCATAAAGGGCAATTCAATATGTGGTTTTCTATAGTTTGCATATATGTGATAGATGGAATTTACACCAGAACTTTTTGTTTTGTTTTAAGTCCTATGCTCTCTGTGTTTCCAGTGATAAAACAGTATCAGTGAGGGTTTCAGGACTTTAATCGTAGTTTGTTATAGCATTAGAATTTAACACCATTTTATAATCCTTTTGATCTAGTTCTTCAAAAATATATTGATTTTAGTGTATATTTTTTTGGAATGTAGCATTTTAAAATATATCCTCAAACAGTAAATTTGGGTCAATGTTCACAAAATATATCCCCAAACAGTGTTCAGAGGGCAGAAATAGTAACATACCTGGGATAATTTTTTTAAAGTTTATTTATTTATTTTGAGAGAGAGAGAAGAAAGAATAGAGAGCACGTGAACATGCACAAGCAGGAAAGGGGCAGAGAGAGAGGGAGAGAGAGGAATCCCAAGCAGGCTCCGTGCTGTAAGCACAGAGCCCAACATGGAGCTTGAACTCACCAACCAAGAGATCATGACCTGAGCAGAAATCAAGAGTCAGAAGCTTGACCGACTGAGCCACCCAGACGCCCAACTCTTTTTTCAACATATACTTGGCTTTGAGTTGTTTTACAATTTCCACAGCATCATTCCAACTGCTGCTGATTTTGTATTTATATGTATTTTGGCATAATGATGCTTTGTAACTCCCTGGTATCCCAATTCCCTAAAGTGGCTTCTTGCCTTTGCTAAAATACTAGGCAATCATCTATGATCCAATTCCTTTATAAGTACGTGAGAGCTAATTTCCCAGAACAACTCATCTTTTATGGAAAATAGACTTCCTTTTTTTTTAATTCCAGTTATGCTACATAACAGTACCTTTTATATTACAGCTTAATGTAATCTTCCTTGGGATTGCTTTATATAAAATGTTTCATCATACTGCCATCCTGAAACCTGAATCGGGCTGCCTTGATAATATCAAGTAAGTGATTTTTCTTTTTGTTTTCTTTAGCTATTCTAACTTTGGTACTCTAAATTAGCCCTACTTTTAATTCTATTGAAATCTTATAACAGAATGATGAGGATCAATGTGTTGTCTTTGCTGAATAAGATCGTTTATTGACTCCTGAGATGACCTGATCTGCCTGAGAATAAGTATAAGGAAGCTTTGTCTTCAAAAAAAAAAACTTGTCCCCGAAACTCTGATTTACAACATGAGAAGCTCTTAAGATGTACATTTATTTATTTTGTCCTGAAGGCCAATACAAAGTCTCCATATCTGGACAGACTGTTGTTTCTTGGGGCAATAACCACGTCAGTTACCAACACCTCATCTCCCTGTTCAGAGAATGTGAAGAGAGTAGGATGGAGGCCTTGCGAGCACCAGGAGGGGGATTTTACACCACAGAAGAACCCCAAGATTATTAATCTGGGCATTTGTAGAGGAGCTATTATACAGCTGACACCCAGCTCCTTCTGAGAGAGGAGGAGAAAACCCCATTCCCCATGTAAAGTCCATGGTGTATAAATATATAGCTCCAGGCTTTACCCCCCTTTGAAATGTTAATGTTTCCTTCTGGGGAGGTAAATCACTCCAGAAGTCTCTCGTTATCTACTTAGCCATCTTTTAACTTCCAAGGTTTGGCCTTTTAACCCAAATTCTATTTTTCTATGCTCTGAAAGCCCTTGCCATGCATAGATATGAAAATATTCACATTCCTTTCCACACCAGTAGTACTTCTTATATATATATATATATATATATATATATATATATATATACACAAAAAGAAGGTAATTTACATTTTCTGAAAAGAAAAAATAGTTTCTCAGTATAACCAAAATTTTTATCTTGTTCCTTCAGAGGCTGTGACATTTGAGAGAGATAGTAATGAGGAGATGTACGTTAGTCATTAATATATACTATATATTAAATTGTAATTGTATATAATTTGCCCGTGCTATGTATTAACTTGGTTAAACGTTTTTATTTAAATGAATGTACTTTCAGAAGTTTCATGAGGTCACCTGTGACTTTTGAACATTCTCCTTGAACTACCTCAGAGCGCAGCTATATCACCCATTTTTCATCTGCATTTAGTGCCTGACATAGTTTCTTGCTCATAGTAGGCCTTTGATAAATGTTTATAGAATAAAGCAATACATTAAAGACTAGTGAGAAAAATGTATTGACACTAAGTGGTTAATTTTGTTGAAGGAATCGTCTGTTTAACTTCATTGAAAAGGGTAGCTAAGAAAGTAGAAAAATATTATAAAGGAGCAACCTAGGAATTATCTACAATGAGTAGTAGACTTTTGTAATTCTTAATGTTACTTAGTTGAGATAATAGTCGTTATTTTGTTGAATTGTGTACAATTAGACTGCCCTTCTAAACTGTAGTATTAGTTCCTTGTACTGTCTGTTCCTGATGAAATTGAATTTAGATAAGAAAGTAAATAAATAAATAGACATATAAAATATGTTTTCTTTGTCATATCATACTTTTATTACTTTAGCATATATGATACTATCTTTGTCTCTATTATTTTACAGTGTAAAGGAAAATGCAAGTAATACTTTACTACCATTTATGTTATGTTTTTAAAGTACTATTAAAAGTGAATACTTTGATATTTATGTAACAGCTTTTACAACATTAAAAATAAAGGAAAAGGTCTGTGCTTATGATAGAAATATATTTTAAAACTTCAGTTTGTTCTGTAATGATTCATGTATATTTTTTTAAGTGATATGGGTCAAATCTTTATGATGTTATTGCTTAAAAAACCAAACACAAAAAAGGCAATAAATACATATAATGACATTGATGGCATTAAACTTTATATTACAAAACAAAGTAAAGCCTTAAATGAGAATATCTTGATCTAAATTCTGTCCAAACTGCTTTATCGTTTATAGTCTTTGGAAAATTTATTTAACCTTGCTACGCCTTCCTGTCCTCTTAAAATGAGTACAATAATGGGGCAACTGACTGGCTCAGTCAGAGAACATGTGACTCTTGATCTCGAGGTTGTGAGTTCAAGCCCCTCATTGGACACAGAATTTACTTATAAATGAATAAATAAATAAATAAATAAGTTACCTACTTTTGAAAATAAAAATAAGATAAAATGCGTATGATAATGAAACATAGCCAGCTGTCAAATGAGCAGAGGAATATGCATACAGGCTTTGAAGATTTTTTAAAGAATCAGTAAGGCAAGAAGAGAAATTAAGTAGTTATTCTTAGAAGGGGGTGGTTTTGAGATGGAAAAAACCTGGGTATGAACATGCTTTTGGAGAAGAACAGTAATAGAGTAGTTAGAAACATAAGAAAGGGAATCATTGTTAGGGCTTCAACTTGAGGAATTGTAGAGAATGAGATCCAGAACAGTGGTCAATCAATTCTACTCTATTAGAGTACATGAGGGATACTTTTCAACCTAGGTAAGAAAAGAAGCGGGGCTCTTTTTCATGGAGACTGGATGAAGTAAGTGATAGGTTTGATGTAGATATGGTAGAGAAGCAGGGCAGGTCAGTAAACTGAGGGATTTCTGTGCACTCTCCTCTATGAAGTAGGAAAGATGGCCCTTTGGAGGATATAAGGGCATGTGGGTAAGAGAAAATAAGAAAGCAATCTCAAGAAAATATTCCTTAAAACTTCTTAGAATGTAAGGACATTTCATTTTAAAATATATTAACTATTTAAGAAGTACTTGTAAAGAAATCAACAGGACATAATTGGTAAGGAAAGAAGAATTTATGAAAGGTAATAATGATTTTGAACACTAGGGAAAACACAAAGCCTGGCCTCCTTTTTATTTTGAAAAATTCATAGGGATCTGTATAATAATACATTTTTAAATATTACAGGTGATGTAAGAGTATTTATTTTAAAGAAAAGCATCATATATCTGGATAGTCTTTTTTCAGACTCTCCAGAGACAGGGCATAAAATTTAATGTTTCCTTGTTTTTGTTTTTTGTATTTTTGTAAAACGATTAAGGTGAGCCAACTTGCTCACTTCATTGAGGAGAAAAAGCCACCATATAAGTCTTTTCAGAAGTCAACATCTTTCTAAAACCATTCATTCATTTATCAAATATTTACTGCCTTTATTATGCATGTTCTTTCACAAATATATCTCTCCTTTATCTAAAATATGTTTGCTTCTCCTCTTATTCACTGCCATCATTTATTTAGTTAGTTAGTTAAAGGTTTTTTTTTGTTTGATTGTTTCTGTTTTTGTTTTTGCTTTTGTTTTCATTTCTGAGAGAGACAGACAAAGCATGAACTGGGGAGGGGTAAAGAGAGACAGAGACACAGAATCAGATACAGCCTCCGGGCTCTGAGCTCTCCGCAGAGAGCCCAAGGCCAGGTTTGAACTCTAATGAGATCTTGACCTGAGCCGAAGTCAGCCACTTTACCAACTGAGCCACCCAGGTGCTCCTGCCACCATTTTTTAAGAGCCACCATCAACTTCTGCAGAATCATTCAGCAGTCTTGTAGTAATCATTCCCCGTGTTGATTCTTGCCCCTACCTGCAGCTGAAGAGATCTCTTGAAAAGCATAAATCACGCAACTCTTCAGTAAAACCTGAGTAAAATTCTTGAGTAAAACTCCTCAGCCGCTTCCTGTTCCCCTCACACTGAAGTCCAGACTCCCTACCCTGCCCTACAAAGCCTTCCTGGTCTAGTTGATTCTTTCTGTCTTTAACCACGTGTTTTGTTTTGTTTGTAAAGGTTTCTATATTTATTTTTGAGAAAGAAAGAGTGAGCAGGGAAGGGACAGAGAGAGAGAGGGAGAGAGACTGAATCCCAAGCAGGCTCTGAACTGTCAGTGCAGAGCCTGATGGGGGCCTTGATCTCACAAACTATGAGATAGTGACCTGACCCAAAACCAAGAAACTGACGCTTAACTGTCTCAGCCACCAGGGAGTTCCTGGCCTCTAGTTAAGTAATTTGTCCCTCTGGCCACTCTAGATGTACTCTCTTTTCCTTTGGGTTTTAACTCTGATTTTTTTTTCTCTTCCCTAACACTTTCTTTTCCCTAGCACTATGCCTGGCTGACTCCCAGTTTAGCCTAATTCATTTAATTATTATTTTAAAAATAATTTAATTATATTTTAATTCAAAATTTACTTCATGGTCATTAAAATAAGCACATTTTTGTGTTAGTTTAGAACATTCATTTGGCTGGCTCATTACTATATTAATGTTATACTCTGTAAAAAATAAAATATAGTGAATTAATATAGGTAATATGATTACCAAGGAAGTGAGGTATGCCAATTCTCAGATTTCTCAAAAATTAATTTAAATTGAAAACTACATTTCTGTTTACTGTTTGTTTACTTGTCTTTTGTCTTTTTCATCAAAAATAGGTGATTATTTGACAGAAAAAGTAATTCCAGTCTTTAGAATTTTCTGGTTGAGTTTCTGACATATTAAAATTGCAGCTTACAGTAATCATAGCAAAAATCTAATTTTAAATACATACATATATGTGTAAATATGAATAAAATAATTATTGAATTATTACCAGCACAAAGCCAACCTCCACTGTTGTTGAAGTATTATGACATGTAAAACTATTTTTTTTATTTTTAAAAATGTTTATTTGTTTTTAAAGAAAGAAAGCATGTGCATAAGTACACAAGCAAGGGAGGGGTTGGGAGAGAGGAGAGAGAGAATCCCAAGCAGGCTCCGCACTGTCAGCACAGAGCCCAACATGAGCTCCATCTCATGAACCCTGAGATCAAGATCCAAGCTTATATTAAGAGTCGAACACTTAACTGACTAAGCCACCCAGGTGCCCCATAAAACTTTACTTCTTGAGGAGCATTTATAGTAGTCTTGACAGTTGCCTTCAAAATAAAAATGTATTGTTTACATAGTTATCAACTGTTTCTTCTATTATTGGTTTAATAACATCACAGGTACTTTAAAGAGTAAAAAGTCATAGAGGCTTTTAGGCCTAAG